CATGAGCCGAAACAGATGTAGGAGTTTAAGAGGTTAAGACAGACCTATTGCTTATTCTATTTAATACAAGTCCATCTACTTCTAATTTAAAATCTACAATATTGATCAATTCATTTAGCTCAATTTATTCATGCATTGCCAAAAATCATACGAGTTGTCTCTGAGGCTTTACAAAGCCCACAACAAAGGGCATACTCTAGACCTTCTCTTCTGACACCTTGGGTCAAAACCCATTTTAATGTACAATATGTTGATTAATTTTATATTGATGGGTGATGAGTTGGTAGACCCATGTCATCTTCTCCCACTGACGTCTGCTGTCGTTGTGTTCCTGGGCAAGACACTTAAACCCACTTTGCCCGAAGCCCCCGCTGAAAGAAGACCAAGGCTAACGGAAAAGCCATCATCCTGTAGAACCATCACCTGCAGGAGGGGCTGTTGCTTTGAGTCGTGGGTGGCAGTTCTGATTGCCGCTCCCTCGACCCAAAAATGGAATAATAAAGGGGAAGAAAATGACATGACAGGATATGTATTGATTCAGAAAATAATTATGATAAACAATAACATCAAAACTAGTGAATGCCACCATGATGCTACTAAATTAAAGTAGAATAAGTTTTATTACTTAACAGCCTCATTGGTTAACATAGAACATAGCAACAATCTGCCCACTTGCACACACAAAAATTTAGAGACAATAAATATTGAGTCCCGACTATACGGCAGCTATGTAATATTTATCTCTTAGCATTGGTTGAGGGTGAAATTATGGATGTATCACAATGAAGATGTTTCCTTTGCTTCTATTGTTGTTAAAGGTACACTGTGTAATTTTCACTCCCATCTAACACTGAGATCAAAGGTTGTAATCTACGGTACTACTTCGAAGGACAATATGTCGTCTTTGACAGTGGTCATCAACTCCCAGTTAAACCACTTTTTTTCCCTTATAAACCACTGTATTTCAAGATGGTGCATTGCCATGTTGAGCCTTCCAGCCTCATGGACATTTAAAGTCAAATTCTAAGCCTATAATAGCAATCCAAAGACATAGTGAAGGTACATATTCTTTAAAAGATCACATTTCATATTGGTTAACATGTTTTGTCATTTGGAGCAACTGTAAAACATTACACAGAGTACCTTTTAAAACCTGGGAGAAGACACAACCATTCTGTATCCTGTATGTTTTAATAGTTTTTTCTGGGTATGCAGCAAACAAAATAAACTCAAGCTCTCAAAAAGTCACTACAGAAATAGAGAGAAGACCATTTTTTACTACACCTTCATACACCATTTACCAGCAGAGCTACTGGTAACTCTAGGCACCATTTTGTAAGTTCTTTGTAGACGTTGAGGCTTGAAAAAGAAAAAATATGCGTTACATTGTTTTTTGCTCTCTGCGCTCCGACAGAAGATGAACTGGAGCCAGAGGAGTTTTGCTGAGAGTAGGGGTGCGTGAAATAAACAGAGTGGAGGACTGAGCTAACAGGCTGCGCAAGAGTTTTAGCCGAGTAAATAATGTCCAAACTGAAAGTGAATTTGAGGGCACGCTTTGTCAAATCCGGCAGCCGTATGGAGGGAAGAGTCTGCAACGTTCTCCCCCAGAGAGTTTGTGTGTGTGTGTGTGTGTGTGTGTGACTTGCATAGATGTGGTTTAAACACATTCAAACACATGCAGATTGTCAGTCAAGCTGCATATGGCACCCCCTGCTGGAGAAGTATGGTAACTTGAGCCCTATCTTGTTCCTCTTTCCTACTTTATCTCTCTTCTTTATGACTTCAATTGTAGTTTGTTCATTGCTATTCACCTGCTGTTCAATTGTCTGTTGCGTGAGGATGGGAGCCCTGATTCTGGGCTTTTTCCTCTGCATCTGTGGAGTGTCTCCCCCGGTCTGGACACTACAGTCTCAGTCCTGGATCTACAACCTCAGCGCTGGATCTACAGCCTCGGTCCTGGGTCTAGAGCTTTAGGACTGGATCGACAGCCTCAGTCCTGCGTCTAGGGCTTCAGTACTGGATCTACAGCCTCAGTCCTGCGTCTAGGGCTTCAGTACTGGATCTACAGCCTCAGTCCTTCATCTAAAGCCTCAGGCCTCATACATTCTGGTATAAGTTTTGCCATAGCGTAAAACAAATTCTAAAACCAAGAATGTAGACAGAAGAGCTGAGGGTACGTTTATAGTCAGAAGTCTTTGATATTAAAGCCCATCTAAAGACCACTCTATTGGCGAGTGAACAATGTTGGAACAAGAAGATAAAAACCTCCATCTCTAGTTAAACAGCTCTGGACCCATTGACCGTTGGTTCTTTACGTGGTCTTTGTGACACATCCCGCGGGTCCTGAGTGGTCTGGGGTTTGACCAAATGGACCAGATCCTATTAAGAGCTTAAATGAGAGGCAATTGTGTCCATTAGTTTCCCAGTGATTAAAAGCAGTAAAGAGGAGAGTGGTGAGCTAAGTGGGTTCGGTGTTTGGATAACAACGTTAACTCGGCAAATCTCTCAGCTGGGATTTGTCAGAGAAAGATGTTTAAATCTCTCACTTTGTGTTTGAGGGAGTGGAGAGGAAGTTAAACTGGATGAAATATGATGAAATATGGTCGCTATTTTTTGTTCAACCCCAAATAGGCCTCAATTTTAGCGGAATATTTCTCACTTGAGTTTATCACAAAAACTCCAGGGATTGATACCAGTCATAACTGGATTTTGTGTTATTTTTGTAGTTTTATTTGTTTGACCTGTGTCCCTGCCCCTTTATCCCTCTATATGTACCTATATGTACCAGGACCTTTATCCCCCACTGCTGTCAGACTGTACAATAAGTCACTTTAAGTCATTTGCACTAGGACTCAAAACCTGTACTACTATTGCCACTGTTTCTTTAATTGCCTATTTTTTTATTGTACATAATAAATCCTGCACATACTATATTTTTTGCCTCTAACATGTTTCACACTTCAATCTTTTGCTGTCATCTGAGTGATTCTATCTGTGCCAAATGTGACATGTAAATTTCTCCTGTGTGAGATCAATAAAGTCCATCTTATTTCGTCCTCTCCCTTTGTTGCTGGTCCGTAGTTAATGTGGATGTCTGTCAATGTCTGGTCTGTGCCATTGTGTTCCTGGTTCCTTCGGAATGTTGACTTTTATTATTATTATTATTTTATCCCTGCATTTTGAGTCCTCCATCCCTCCACCTCATAACACCACCTCCAGATGGGGCTTTGCTGAGGGCCCATCTCCCCCTCATGTCCCCCTCTTCTGTTTATAAGCTCCATGTTATATATGGTATACAGACCTCTGGGTGAACTGTGAGTTATTCCACATACAGTCCTCCTGCTGTTTGTCTTTTGTCACAATAGAGTCATATTTAAATTTGCTGCAGGACTGTGGCGTGAGGGAAACTCTTCTGGAAGGTTCCACGGATCTATTTTTATAATTTCAAATGTGTACAATATGTAAGATTTTCATGTGAAGTTATCATAAAGGGTCCTAATCTGTCCAAAGGCATTAAAAAACCTGTTCGGTTCCAATAATTCTTTAACTGATAACAGTATTTCAGAGATATTTGAATTTCAAAAATAGTTTAACAGCCCCTAAATCTTGTTATTGTTTTCCTTTTGATGTCCCGCCTCCACCGTTTCACCAATCAGAAAGTCTGTGATCCGGGCGCCAGAACTCAGCACGTCGAGCTAATCTCACTAGTAAAGTACCATGTGGCCACAGAACTAAAAAAGGTCTTGTTATGATTCTCAAAGCATTAACAACAAAACAAGGAATAAAACCAGGATTTCTATCTTTGTGAAAAAGCTGTTGTTTATAGATTTGTTGTTGACAAAACTCTTGTCTATTCAGCTGTTACGGTCCCAGCTGGATTCGTCTGCATATCTGGCAACCTGAGTCAGGGAGAGTGGGAGAGGCTGCAGTACCACTTTTGGCCTCATTTTTACACACTGCTCCTTTAAATGTTGTCGTTCCATAATTGTTGCTAATGTCGTTCCTTCATTGCGGCCGGCTGTTTTCCCCTTTTCATTAAATCCAAATTGATGTATTTTTTTATTTTTTGCAAAATGGAAAATGGTCATTAAATTAAGTCACCTGAAAAAGAAGGATAGTAATCATTTTAAACACATTAAATCCATTGGTCCTGAAATGTACCATTCGTTTTGTCTGGAGCTGGAGAAAGTGGTGGAGATGGAAGTCTGGGCTTGGACTGCCGCCCCCGCAACCCGGCCACAGAAAAAGTGGAAGAAAATGAATGGCTGGAGCTTAATCATACCTGTAATGTAAGGTCTTGTCTTTGTGAATTTGGTATTTATTGTCGATTTGTTGAGAGTTCAGTGCAACCTCTCAACCACACAAATGAAATGTTATTAGTCATAAATAATTGTGTTTTTTACCATATTTTTCTGTGTTTCTGTCCTCACAACAGAACACTGCATTTGCACATTGTGGGTCACACTGACTCCACAGAAGAGGAAGGAAAACTGCTAAATTGTTTCATTGTTGTGTGAGCTTCTCCATTTGAAGATACTATTAATGTGAGTACTTTATAAAAAAGAGTCTCCTTATCGACTTTGACCTCGACCAATGGAGAGTGAAAGATAAGGAGAGAAGCCGACAGACATCAGGAGAAGAACACATTTTCAAAATGGGGAGATTTTATATTAAGCAATTTAGCAGATCAAAAACAGGCAAATGTGACTGTAGATGCACTTGAGAAGAATTGCTGGTACCCTCCGTATACGCCGCGCCTTCCATGTGGGGTCAGAGAGTTTATGAAGTTCATTCAGTTTGCCTTGTCTAATATATCTAAGACTGTTTTACAATAGACTTTGAAACCTTAGCTCAGGTTATGAATGAACAGAAGTTAAGGCTGAACAGAAGCAGAGTTACGCGTTCCTTTCATCTATTTAACAAAGACCACAACAGTCTTTGTTTGCTCCGACAGACAGTGGTGTTTACTTTGTGTGAGGAGAAAAAGAAGACGTCTATTCATGAGCTGTGGCAGGTATCAGAGGAAAGACAGTCAGAGTGGAACTGTGTGTGGTGGAGCTATCTGTGGTGGAGCCTCCGTGGTGGAGCTGTCCGTGGTGGAGCTGTGTGTGCTGGAGCTGTCCGTGGGGGAGCTGTCTGTGGTGCAGATGTCCGTGGGGGAGCTGTCTGTGGTGCAGATGTCCGTGGTGGAGCTGTCCGTGGTGCTGATCATTGTGTTCTGTCCTCGGGTCACAGTGCCACAGTGATTATAGGAAAACAGAAATTACCGTACACATGTAATTTTATCAGATAAGATAAAATAAACCTTTATTAGTCTCACAGTGTCATTGTTGCGCACATTACAGCAGAGAGAGGAAATAAGAACACTCAGATTGCACACATCAAATAAGTCTATTATTTAAGATAATAGACAGTAAAATTAAGATAAGAATACAATAAAATGAGATAAACTCTGGGCTATAATTGCACTTGGTCCAGAAGTATTTACAGATGTCTATATTATATATTAGCCGTGGAGAATATGAGAATATGAATATGAGCAGAATAAACATCAGAAATAATACCAACAGGTAAAGTGACTTGAATGGGAAAATTATCAGATGGATATGTAATAATACAATAAAATATCAACAGGTAAAGTGACGGTGAAAGGCAGAAATATCAGATATGTAATAATGCAGTAGTACTGATAACAGGTAAAGTGACAAGTGACAAAGTTACTAGTGAATTATCAGTGACTGATCAGCAGTTCCTGTTACACATTCTCGTTGTACAGTCTGACAGCAGCAGGGAGGAAAGACCTACGGAACCTCTCCTTCACACAGCGAGGGTGAATAAGTCTGTCACTGAAGCTGCTCTCCAGAGCAGACAGAGTGTCCTGCAGGGGGTGACAGTCATGGTCCAGCATAGATGTTAGTTTGTCCAGGACCCTCCTGTCCCCCACCTGCTGCACTGTGTCCAGGGAAGAGCAGTCCCTGGTTCTCACATGCTCAATTTTGATGATTGTTCCTAACCGGATCATTTTGACCCTTTTACACCATAATTTAGGCCCAAAAGGGATATATTTCTTCTACTTTTAATCATTGTGAATGGTCCTTTTAACATGAGGTAGGCACAATCCAGCCTAGCGCCATATAAACTGACTCAAAATCTGAGGAGCACAGGGACTGGCCTCCTGCTGGGACTCTTGAGGAGCACAGGGACTGGCCTCCTGCTGAAAATCTCAGACGCGCACAATTTTCAAATCCAGGTTTTTGACCCGGGCACGTCCTACCGGGAGGAGACCAGGGGAAGACCCAGAACAGCCCGGAGGAACTTTGTCTCTCTGTGGCCTGGGAACGCCTTGGGGTCCCCCCAGATGAGCTGGAGGATGTGTGTGTGGATAGGGAAATCTGGGCATCTCTGCTTAGACTGCTGCCCCCGCGACCCGGCAACAAATGAAGCGGTAGAAAATGGATGGAGGAGTTTAAAACGGTTCTGTTTAGCTGTGCATACAACTGGGGGATTTAGCCTTCACTGTTTTTCACTGCTGTGATTATTTATAATTTTAATGCCTTTTGTGATTGTTTTGATCTTGTTTTGTTCAGAATTTTGAATTGCCCTGTGCATGAACTGTGCCATACAAATAAACTCATCGTACCAAACTAGAATAATCATAGTATTTACAGTAGAGCGTCTGAATTAAAGGGAGGCTCTTCTTTCTTCTTCTTCGGACCCAGTGACTGAAGAAAAAACACAAAAGCCGCTGCATATGTGATCCGTGAGACCGACAGTCCTCCGCAGTATTCTCAGGACTCTTAAAGGTGCTAATTGCAGAGACTGGCTCAGCAGGTAGCAGCTAATGACCCCGCGCTTTGCTAATGCACCTAAAGCACGCGCACTTACGATCACAGCTGTTAGAAAGAACTGTTTGACTTCTAATGGCACGACATTAATTATATACAGTACTTTTGAAGACACGTTCATTGTTTGCAAGTTTATATACTTCTACATATTGGGCATAAAAACACACACACACACTGAGCAGAAAAAAAAGCAAGTATTTTCTGTATGTCTATATCTGGCTTAATAAAAAATAAAAAAATAACTGATCCCGTCCGTTCCTTTTACCCTTAGTTTGTAGTTCTCAACATCCTCCACCACCAGTTTCTTTCCCCGACTTCAAAACTTTCAGAGACAAATCCAATATGACGTCTGCTTTCATGACAAAACACATTATTTGTACATTTGTGCCACTGTTTTCCAGAGTTCAAGTCGATTTCCTCGTCTTGACTTATCTTTGATGTCATATTGGGGTGACTTTCCGGGAGCCGAGCGGTGGCAGGAGTCGACCAAGTCCCCATCTGCCGTGACCAGGGCCTGAGGCGGGAGGGCAGTGGTCTGACTCTATATCTGTGCACTGGTGTCCAAACGCCTGGTGTCCAAACGCCTGGTGTGTCCAAACGCCTGGTGTGTCCAAATGCCTGGTGTGTCCAAATGCCTGGTGTGTCCAAATGCCTAGTGTGTCCAAACGCCTGGTGTGTCCAAACGCCTGGTGTGTCCAAACGCCTGGTGTCCAAACGCCTGGTGTGTCCAAACGCCTGGTGTGTCCAAATGCCTGGTGTGTCCAAATGCCTGGTGTGTCCAAATGCCTAGTGTGTCCAAACGCCTGGTGTGTCCAAACGCCTGGTGTGTCCAAACGCCTGGTGTGTCCAAATGCCTGGTGTGTCCAAACGCCCTCTTGTCTCTCCCTTGTCTCTCTCTCTGGTCTCGCTCTCTAGACTATCTCTGGTCTCTCTCTCTCTCTCTAGTCTCTCGTTCTGGTCTCTCTCATCTCTCTCTAGTCCATCCCTTTTGTCTTTTTCTGTGGTCTCTCTCTTGTCTCTCTCTGGTCTCTCGTTCTAGTCTCTCTCTCTCTTTTTAGTTTCTCTGTTGTTAGTCTCTCTCTCGCTTGTCTCTGTTTGGTCCCTCCCTCTTGTCGCTCTCGCTGGTCTTCTCTCTATCTTGTCTCTCTCTGGTCTCACTCTCTGGTCTCTCTCTTGTCTCTCTCTCTCTGGCCTATATCTAGTCAATCTCTCGTCTATCTCTGGTCTCTCTCTCTCTCTCTCTCTCCTGTCTCTCTCTGGTCTCTCTCTCTCTCACACACCACAACCGCTACAGTGTCCTAAATCATTCAATTACTTTACAATATTCTCCAGAAAAAACAAAACAAAAGAAACCCAAATGATCCCAGAACACTTGCACATGTCCCCAGCGTCTCTCTGGCCCTCGCTGAAGAGAGAGGCCTTTTGATTACGCCCATGATCTCTCCGGCTCCGCTCCACGCCAGACCCTAATGTCAGCTCATTAGCGGCGTATGAAAAAAACGAGCTAAAGGGGAGTTTTGAGCCCTGCAACAGTTTCTTTTCAACTACGTGAGTCAAAAATCAATTCCTCTCTCTTCTTGTTAGCTGGAGGTTTGTCTTTGGACGAGAGAGAGCCACATTCTGACAAACGGCCCCCTGAGTAATGCAATGTAAACTCTGGGAAGGTGTCGTAAATGTTTGTTGGCTCAGATGGGACGGGGCTGGAGCTGAGATACATCTACACCCTGCACTTTGTCATTTGGATCAGTCGTTTTAAGACCTGAGAAGTACTTAAAGTATTAAAAGTATTGATCAAACTGCAATGTTGTAAAGATGGCAGTGTGTTGTGTTTTATGGACACGTTATAAACAGTGGGGCTTTAATACAAGAGATAGATCAGAGAGAGAGACCAGAGAGAGATCAGAGAGAGACCAGAGTGGGATCAGAAAGAGAGAGACGGGAGAGGGATCAGAGAAGGAGATCAGAGGGAGATCAGGGAGAGAGATACATAGGGAGACCAGGTAGAGAGGCAAGAGAGAGAGACCAGAGGGAGATACAAGAGAGAAAGGAGAAAGACCAGAGAGAGATTAGAGAGACATAGAGAGAGATTAGATAAGAGAGAGAGACCAAAGATAGACCAGGGAGAGAGAGAGAGAGAGAGAGAGAGGCAAAAAGAGAGAGATAGAGAGAGATTAGATAAGAGAGAGAGGCCAGAGATATACCAGGGAGAGAGAGAGAGAGGCAAAAAGAGAGACCAGAGATAGACCTGAGAGAGAGGCAGGAAAGAGACACCAGAGATAGACCAGAGAGAGAGAGGCAAGAGAGACCAGAGATAGGTACAAGAGAGATAGGAGAAAGACCATAGAGAGTGGCAAGAGAGTGAGAGATCAGAAAAAGATACAAGAGATAAGAGAGAGAGGCACGACCATAGACTGTATATATTAAAGATATATATTCAAAATAAAAACGCATCTGCGCATGCATCAGCCGGCACGAGCCCCATTCATTTAAACAAGTGACTTCAAAAATTCACAGAGAGTAAACAAGACTGGTCCAAAAAATTCACTCCCCTCAGCATTGACACACATGTGGAACGGAGCTTTGGGCCAAGAGCCAACTTTTGGACCATCCTGTAAAGACGTTTTCCAGAGGTAAGAAGATGCTACATGTTGGCATTGGCTAATTCTTTTTCCGGGTCCATCCCCATCGGCCTGAGGTGGTATTGCAGCATGTCAGCGCACGTCAATTTGGACAAGACAGAGAGAGACCTGAGAGAGGCAAGAGTAGAGAGAGAGAGACCTGAGAGAGAGGCCAGAGAGAGAGAGAGAGAGAGACCAAGGAGTGTTTTGTGTGTATGTTGTTTTTATTGGTTTTAAATGCTGCCATTGTGAAGCACTTTGGGTTGTGCACTGTATGAACCGTGCTATATACTGTAAATAAATCTCTCTGCTCTCTCTCTACTCTCTCTCTACTCTCTCTCTCTATTCTCTCTCTCTCTCGATGAGAAGTGTGATCTCTGACCTTTGGGAGCGCTCTCTGCTGCGACCTTCAGGACAATGGACTGAGAAGGAGGCGAGACCGTAAATGTCACATGAGATAAAGGTTTGCAGCAGGTCAAAGAATCCGGAGGCAGAGATTGTCGTTTGCCGCTTCTCTATTCATTCAATTTTTACAATGAAACTCCTCGGTAAACTCCTCGGCCTCTGTGACGGAAATGTGACGCACTGTTCAGGCCGAAACCACAGCAGCAGTATCAATTCGCCGACACAGATCAGAGAATCAAACAGTTTGAACATAGGAAATGCAGTGACAACAAATTTGGTCTCTCTTTCTCTCTGGTCTCTCTCTGGTCTCTCTCTGGTATCTCTCTAATCTACCTCTGTACTTTCTCTGATCTCTCTGTGGCTTCTCTGTAGTCTCTCTTTCTGGTCTTCCTCTGTGCTCTCTCTCTGGTCTCTGACTAGTCTCTCTCTCTCTGGTATATCTCTCTTGTCCCTCTCCCTGGTCCCTGACTAGTCTCTCTCTCTCTCTTTCTCTCTCTCGCTCTCTCTCTCTCTCTGGTCTCTGTCTGGTCTCTCTGTACTCTCTCTCCCTGGTTTCTGACAGGTCTCTCTCTGGGCTCTCTCTCTGCTTTCTCTCCCTCCCTCTCTGCTCACTTGCTCTGCTCTCTCTCTCTGTTATTTCTCTCTGGTCTCTGACAGGTCTCTCTGCTCTCTCTTTCTCTGCTCTCACTCTCTCTGCTCTCTTTCTCTGCTCTCTCTCTCTGCCCGTTCTTTCTCCGCTCTCTCTCTAGTCTCTCTCTGCTCCCTCTCTGCTCTCTCTCTCTGCTCTCTCCCTGTACATCATATCCACTCCAGTCACCTCGGCAACGGTACACGCAGTCATTCTGATATAGCGGCGTACAGGAGCCTTGAAGGACCAAACCGCCGTGCTTCATTCTCCTCACCGTGGTGCAGAAGGCCGCGCCATATTTCAGCGGCGAAGGGCACCCATTCTCCACACACGGCTGCTCTGAGGTCTGACGGGGGCCGATGGCAGCAGATACCGCCGGGGGGGGGGGGGGGGGGGGGGGTGTTTTGTAGTCATGGAGAGAGGAAGGATGGTGATGTGAAGAAGGCCGCTCCATCAGTCTGTATCTGCTGCTGCGACACCAGCCAGGCTGCTGGTTTCTATTGTTTCTATTGTTGCACCTTGAAACCTTGAAAGCTAAGGTCCTTAACTTTTTTTTCAGGATTCAACAATATGTCTTGAACTTGCGGGTCTGCTACTATAAAAATGCACCAAGAAGACAGAGAGAGAATAAACATCACCGCTCTGCTCCAGGGACTGCATTTCTCTCTGGTCTCTCTCTCTTTCTCTAGTCTCTCTCTTACCAGTCTCCCTCTCTGGTATCTCTAGTCTCTCTCTCTCAAGTCTTTCTCTAGTCTCTCCCTCAGAATCAGAATCCTTTTACTTCCATGTGAGTAACAGGAAGTCTAGTATATTGCTTTGGCTCTCGGTGGAAACAAGTTAAAGCAGAATAAAATTAAAAAGGCATGCAGAAATCAAAATCTACATAGTCTCTCTCTGGTCTCTCTCTCTAGTCCCTCTCTGGTCTCTCTCTCTAGTCTATCTTTTTAGTCTCTCTCTCTTTAGTCTCTCTCTCTCTAGTCTCTCTCTCTGGTCCCTCTCTCTAGTCTCTCTCTTTAATCTCTCTCTCTTTAGTCTCTCTCTCTGGTCTCTCTCTCTCTGGTCTCTCTCTCTCTGGTCTCTCTCTGATATCTGCCGCTTGATGGTAAAAGGGCCAAAAACCAATCGATCAGAAATAAGTAGATTTCAGCTTCAAGCAGATAGTGACTCAAAAAGTTATCCAGCAAATGTTTGAGGAAAGCCTTAAAGGGTTGAAACGTACAAACAGATATAATATTCAATATTTCACTCTTCCACAATGGGCCACAGCCTCCTGGGGATTTGGCAACTTACACGATAGATATGAATGTAAATGAGAGAATGAATGGATGGTATTGATTGGGGCTGATGTTCCAGTGTGTTCGACGACTCACTTCCGTCATCACCGTGTGTGGAATGGTTGGAACAATATCTGAACTCTGAACAGTTGTAAAGCACTTTGGGTGACCTTGGTCTGTAAAATGTGCTATATAAATAAACATTACTTACTTACTTTGTTTTTTTTTTTTTATTGATTAGTAGAAAAGGGGGCAGGGTTACATAAGAAGAAGAAGGTCCTTTATTTGTCCCACAATGGACAAATTTCAGTTTGATGCATACACACATACAGTACAAATACTCATCAAGGCAAGCAGCAAACATCACTTCCGCGCTCCTTATAGGCAAAGTGAGTTAAATGTTTTGCCCAAGGACACAACGACAGCAGACATCAGTAGGAGTCGGTGGAGAAGATCTCGGGGTGGGCTCGAATCCACGACCTTCCAGCCCAAAGGCCATTGCTCTCCCAACTGAGCTACTGTCGCCTAGCACAGTATTCCTCTTTGCTCCCTTTCGGACATGAATGTTTATTTTATTTACTCCTTGAGGGAACAAATTGTACTTACATTGTACACATATCGTTGTTTTGATCTTTTTTTGTTTCTATTTTGCATTGTCCGACTCACAAAGACTCACTCATTCATTTGTCGGGATATAATTCAGAGTAATAAAATATGGCCTTGTTTTTTCCGCACCTTCTCTTACCTTTCAGAAGCGAGGCCTCAGGGACCAATAGAAATCTTGCTTTGCTGCTATAATTACAGTCCTGGTACATCAGAACAGCAAGCGGCGTTCTGCGAGGCTCCAGGGCCGCCGCCATCTGTC